AATCTAAAAACCTGGTAGACTAATAATAAACCAGGGTGAACCTGTCAGTGTGAACAGTGTAAAACCCAGACTACTTAACCCAGGGTTAAACAAATGTAAATATCCCAACACACAAAATCCAGTCAGGCCTGAAAATATCACAGATGTTGTAAAGGACACACACTGGTTGTTTTCAATGACAGACTGACACACACTGACTGCACAGCAACTCCTATTATAACACAAGGTATGTTGCTCAAAGCTTGAAATCTCAAACTAATATTAAACCAGGGTTAACCCATCAGTGTGCACAGTAAAATCTAGACTACGTAACCCGAAATTAAACAATTATTAATATAAAACTCAATACAAAATCCAGTCAGGCCTGAAACCATCAGAGATGTTGTAAAGGACACACACTGATTGTTTTCAATGACAGACTGACACATTTTGGTCGCCTGAATCTCAATATTAGATCACAGTGTTCTTGAATCTTTCCTTAAACCCTCCACACATCCAACATTACCAAACACCAGGGGCGCCTCCAAGGGGTGGCCAGGGGTGGCCACGGCCACCCCTCGGTAAACTCTGGCCACCCCTGTGGCCACCCCAATATAATTTTGCGGTTGACATTATTGATTTAAATGAACTCATAAATTCCCAATATTTAGATAAATAAATAAATAAAATGCAGTCACTAAATTATTGTTGGTGTTACTGACGTAGCTCTCCCCCTCTGGTTCAATGCTGGTGAAAGCAAACTGACGCATGCGCGCGGAAAACCATTCCCGCGCGCCTCACGCACTCTTGTGTGAATCCCGGTTGGTTGTTTGCATGCACGCCGACATAATAGGCACCGCTCATGCGCCGTGAAACCGGAGTAACAGCCTTTTGTGCAGAGGTGTCGGCACGCAGCGAGTTTTGAAAGTCGTTTAAAGTTTATATAATAATATGATGATGATGATGATGATGATGATGATGTTACTTTCACTTTCACTAAGCATCGCCCAGGGTGTCATTTAAACTAGAACCACCACTACTACCCTCCCCGATCGTCCTTGACAGCACGCACACACCTTCAATAGACAGCAATGGCTATTTAATATTTACCTTAAGCTACAGTATATCAATAGAATAAGCTGCATAATAAAATGGTTCAAAAAGCAATTTGGATAAATAATATTATTAGGTATAGTGAGTGTGTATAGTAATCCCTTTTGTTCAGTTTGTTCATTTGTTTGGGTTATTAATAAACTCATTATTCTTTCATTCATTTTCTTTTCGGCTTAGTCCCTTTATTAATCCAGGGTCACCACAGCAGAATGAACCGCCAACTTATCTAGCACATTTTGACACAGTGGATGCCCTTCCAGCTGCAACCCATCTCTGGGAATAATAAACTCAATCTTCATTAATTTTAGACATGGCATATCTCGTATGATGTACAATAAAGGCACGTAAAAAAAGAAGTTATGTATACAGTATATGAAAAGTGTTTTTAAAATTAACATAGATTTTTATTTGGTTTGCACATGTACTTGCTGAATTATTTCAAAGAATAAATTGCAATATTTCAAGTCGAATTAATTAAATTAATAAAAACTACATTATTTCATTTACCAGAAACAAAAATATATCATTACACTGAATTCATTATTTTTTTTGTGTGCCACCCCAAGATTTGGTGCGGCCTCTTCTGGCCACCCCTAAGAAAATTTTCTGGGGGCGCCACTGCCAAACACACACACACACAGACCCCCTACTACCTAATAAACACCAATTATATGTTAATTACACAAAAACACACATGCAAAAAATAAAAAATAAATAAAAACAAATGTAAAAACAAACTGCAACTCCTAAAAAAACTAAAGTTATGATGTTACCCAAAGCTTGAAATCTCAAAATCTGATAGACTAATACTAAACCAGGGTGAACCTGTCAGTGTGAACAGTGTAAAACCCAGACTACTTAACCCAGCGTTAAACAAATGTAAACACAAAACCCAACACACAAAATCCAGTCAGGCCTGAAACTATCAGAGAGGTTGTAAAGGACACACACTGGTTGTTTTCACTGGATGGATTTTGATCGCCTGAATCTCAATATTAGATCAGAGTGTTCCTGCAGCTTTCCTCAAACCCTCCACACATCCAGAATTACCAAACACACACACACAAAGACCCCCTACTGCCTAATAAACATCAATGATATGTTAACTACACAAACACACACACAAAAACCCCAAACACCACAGTGCTTATACTTATAACTGCAGATATTAATGTGTATTATTAAAAACAAACTAAAACTCCTAAAAAAACACAAGTTATGATGTTACTCAAAGCTTAAAATCTGAAAACCTGACTAATAATAAACCAGGGTTAACCTGTCAGTGTGAACAGTGTAAAACCCAGACTACTTAACCCAGGGTTAAACAAATGCAAATATCCCAACACAAAATCCAGTCAGGCCTGAAAATATCAGAGATGTTGTAAAGGACACACACTGGTTGTTTTCAATGACAGACTGACATATTTTGGTCGCCTGAATCTCAATATTAGATCACGGTGTTCTTGCAGCTTTCCTCAAACCCTCCACACACCCAACATTACCAAACACACACACACAGAACCCCTACCACCTAATAAACATCAATGATACACACACAAAACCCCAAACACCACATAGTGACACTAATCGCTGCAGTTCATTATAAAAAAACAGACTGCAACTCCAAAAAAAACCAAAGTTATGATGTTACTCAAAGCTTGAAATCTGAAAACCTGACTAATACTAAACCAGGGTGAACCTGTCAGTGTGAACAGTGTAAAACCCAGACTACTTAACCCAGGGTTAAACAAATGTAAATATCCCAACACACAAAATCCAGTCAGGCCTGAAAATATCAGAGATGTTGTAAAGGACACACACTGGTTGTTTTCAATGACAGACTGACACATTTTGGTCGCCTGAATCTCAATATTAGATCGCAGTGTTTCTTGCAGCTTTCCTCAAAGCCTCCACACATCCTGATCCACCAAAAACACACACACAGACCCCCTACTGCCTAATAAACACCAATAATATGTTATCAACCACACACAAAACCCCAAACACCACATATTGACACTAATTGCTGCAGTTATTTACATGGATTCATTATAAAAAACAGACTGCAACTCCTATAAAAAACACAAGTTATGATGTTACTCAAAGCTTGAAATCTGAAAACCTGACTAATACTAAACCAGGGTGAACCTGTCAGTGTGAACAGTGTAAAATCCAGACTACTTAACCCAGGGTTAAACAATTGTAAATAAAAGACCCAGCACCATCAGAGATGTTGTAAAGGACACACACTGGTTGTTTTCAATGACAGACTGACACATTTTGGTCGCCTGAATCTCAATAGATCGCAGTGTTTCTTGCAGCTTTCCTCAAACCCTCCACACATCCTGATCCACCAAACACACACACACAGACCCCCTACTCCCTAATAAACACCAATGATACATTAGCTACACACACAAAACCCCAAACACCACATATTGACACTAATCGCTGCAGTTCATTATTAAAACAGACTGCAACTCCTATAAAAAACACAAGTTATGATGTTACTCAAAGCTTGAAATCTGAAAACCTGACTAATACTAACCCAGGGTGAACCTGTCAGTGTGAACAGTGTAAAACCCAGACTACTTAACCCAGGGTTAAACAAATGTAAATATCCCAACATACAAAATCCAGTCAGGCCTGAAAATATCAGAGATGTTGTAAAGGACACACACTGGTTGTTTTCAATGACAGACTGACACATTTTGGTCGCCTGAATCTCAATATTAGATCGCAGTGTTTCTTGCAGCTTTCCTCAAAGCCTCCACACATCCTGATCCACCAAAAACACACACACAGACCCCCTACTGCCTAATAAACACCAATAATATGTTATCAACCACACACAAAACCCCAAACACCACATATTGACACTAATCGCTGCAGTTATTTACATGGATTCATTATAAAAAACAGACTGCAACTCCTATAAAAAACACAAGTTATGATGTTACTCAAAGCTTGAAATCTGAAAACCTGACTAATACTAAACCAGGGTGAACCTGTCAGTGTGAACAGTGTAAAATCCAGACTACTTAACCCAGGGTTAAACAATTGTAAATAAAAGACCCAGCACCATCAGAGATGTTGTAAAGGACACACACTGGTTGTTTTCAATGACAGACTGACACATTTTGGTCGCCTGAATCTCAATAGATCGCAGTGTTTCTTGCAGCTTTCCTCAAACCCTCCACACATCCTGATCCACCAAACACACACACACAGACCCCCTACTCCCTAATAAACACCAATGATACATTAGCTACACACACAAAACCCCAAACACCACATATTGACACTAATCGCTGCAGTTCATTATTAAAACAGACTGCAACTCCTATAAAAAACACAAGTTATGATGTTACTCAAAGCTTGAAATCTGAAAACCTGACTAATACTAAACCAGGGTGAACCTGTCAGTGTGAACAGTGTAAAACCCAGACTACTTAACCCAGGGTTAAACAAATGTAAATATCCCAACACAAAATCCAGTCAGGCCTGAAAATATCAGAGATGTTGTAAAGGACACACACTGGTTGTTTTCAATGACAGACTGACACATTTTGGTCGCCTGAATCTCAATATTAGATCACGGTGTTCTTGCAGCTTTCCTCAAACCCTCCACACATCCTGATCCGCCAAACACACACACACAGACCCCCTACTGCCTAATAAACACCAATGGCACGTTAGCTACACGCAAACACACACGCAAAACCCCAAAATGAAGCGCTTATTAAAGCATCGTTGTTGGAGGCTGTGATCGCCATGACAGCATCAGCATCATTTCAGATGAGTCCTCGCACATGCACGAGCATCCGATGATGCCGATCACCGTGATCGATGATGCTGATGATGCCTACGGTTGAACACAGCCATTGGGAAGCGTTAAAAACACCCACCGCTTTCCATTTCGTTGCCCCGTTTGGCGGCCGGCGTGTTGCCCATGACTCTGGGCCTGTCAGGCGCTGGAGAGCCGCAGGTAGGGAGTGATGCTGCCGCGCCTGTCGCGCTTCGGCTCTCCCGGTCCGTTCGTGCGGGTGTCGAAAGCCGATCGGCGATGAATGTGAAATAAAGGGACGTTTCCGCGTCCGATGTGGTCTCGGATAAACAGCGATCCCTTATGAATGCAGCTGCAGCATCCGCGTTTAAAGGGCGGAAGGGCCGCCAGCATCAAACCGGACTCGGGCGTCCTTTCCTGGCCTGGCTGTTCGCCGCACCTCCGCGGCCCCGCAGTCCTGTCGCTCGCCTCCCCTCGGGGGGTTTCCGTGCGCGGCGCTCGCAGGGGGAAAATCGCGGATGAAGAAAACACGGATGCGGTTTCGGCGAGATCGTTCATGCAGCTGCGCTTCCCGTGGCCATCGACTCAAACTCCGCCCCCCATCACAAGCCCTGCCCCCGGCGGCGCGCCTGATTGGTCGGACGGAGGACGACGGACAGATGTGCAGGAGTGATTGACGGTTGTTGCTAGAAGGGATACAGCCGCGGTCGGAAGTTCGCGAGGATTATTTATATAATGTATTAATTATCCATTAATTTTGTTTTATTAATGTCTACCCCAATCCCAAGCCAAATACCATCACAGTAATGTAAAAACAGTAATTATACTGAGCATTATTCGGTAAATTAGCCATATTTAATTGTATTTTATTAACGTCTACCACTACCAAACCATAAACCCAACCATCGCAGTGATGTAAAAACAGTATGAGTATTATTCATTTAATTAGCTATTAAATTCTATTTTATTAATGTCTACCCCAACCCTAAACCCTCACAATAAAGTAAAAAAAACGTAATTAAATCAAATATATTAATTAAATTAGCCATATTTAATTGTAATTTATTTACGTCTACCACTACCAAACCATAAACCCCACCATCAGGGATGTAAAAACAGTATATTAAGTATTATTCATTAAATTGGCCATTAAATTGTATTTTATTAACATCTACCCAAACCCTAAACCCCCCAAAAAATCACAGTAATGCAAAAAACAGTAATTAAATCGAGTATTATTCATTAAATTAGCCATTATATTGTATTTTTACCATAAACCCTACCATCAGTGATGTAAAAACAGTAATTATATAGAGTACTATTTCTTTTTATTTATTAAATTATGTTATTAATGTCTATCCATGCTCCAACCCCTCCAACACAGTAATGTAAAATATTCATTGTTGTTGTACATTATGACAAACATTATTCAGTGATGTGAGTATCCCAGCTGTATCCCGTTTAGACTTTACCGTGATTGATTGACATGAATGATGAGTCGTCGTGATAAGTCGATAACAAAACAAAACAGATTTTTTTTTTCAATGAAATTTCAATGAAGCTATTGAGTGGATTAAAGTTGTACAGTTTTATTCAATTTACCTATAGTCTGCTAGCTGCCTGACATGCTAAAAAATCTGAAATATTGTTATGGCTTTTCACTCTCTTCTATGTATTGTAAAACTGATTTGACTCATGTAGTAAATAAGTTGTTAACCGACGATTATATACCCTCCGTGCTTTTTTTCCTTTCACTTTTTTCGCTCATTAATCCATCTATGTGAAACAATGAAGGCTGTACATAGAAAAAAAAAATTGAAAAAAGATGACTTGCAACCCGGATGTAAGCAACGTTTTGTAGCTGCAAGACGTCTGATTTATTAGCCTAATAATGAACTTGCAGTAAATGTTGTTGCGCTGCAAAGTCTATAAATTATGACGGTAATAAATTAAAAACAACACCATGATCAAAACAACTATCAGTTTTAATAAGGTTAAGTAATATAATGAAACCAAACGACGCCACCGGAAGCTCGAACAGTACATAAATGGCCGCGTCCGCTCTGACGGTATAAAATAAGGTCGATCAAATAAACATATTATACATACGAAAAGCAAAAATCTAAAATATGCATCAATTATAATGACACTTGTTTGATTACCCGTCAATTTTAGAAATGCTGTACACTATACTTATTTAGATTTATTTATCTTTGTTTTTTTAATGTTGTTGTTGCTTTTTGCCATTGTTGTTTTAGTTTTTTTTTGTGTGTGTGTTTCATATTTTGTATTGTGTTGATATGTTTGTTCCTGATGGCATTAAAAAAAATTTAAAAAATCAAAAACAATATACATACATGTATTACACTTTGCACAGTTGAACTACTGTTCCTTTAAAGGGATAGTTCACCCAAAACAACAACAAAAAATAAAATAATAATAATAAAATAGCTAGTTCTTCAAAAGGCACTTACCGGCCACTTTATTAGGTACACCTGTCTAACTGCTTGTTAACAATAACAATAGCAAATGCCTTGTTGATGCCAGAGGTTAGAGGAGAATGGCCAGACTGGTTTTAGCTGTAAGAAAGGCAACGGTAGCTCAAATAAGCACTCGTTACAACCGAGGTCTGCAGAAGAGCATCTCTGAACACACACGCATCCAACCTTGAGGCGGATGGGCTACAGCAGCAGAAGACCACACCGGGTGCCGCTCCTGTCAGCTAAGAACAGGAAACTGAGGCTACAATTCACACAGGCTCACCAAAACTGGACAATAGAAGATTGGAGAAACGTTGCCTGCTCTGATGAGTCTCCATTTCTGCTGCCACATTCAGATAGTCGGGTCAGAATTTGGCATCAACAACATGAAATCATGCATCCATCCTGCCTTGTATCAACAATTCAGGCTGGTCGTGGTGTAATGGTGTGGGAGAGATAGTTACTTGGCACACTTTGGGTCTATTAGTACCAATTGAGCATCATGTCCATGCCACAGCTTACCTGAGTATTGTTGCTGACCATGTCCATCCCTTTATGACCACAGTGTCTCCATCTTCTGATGGCTACTTCCAGCAGGATAACGCACCATGTCATAAAGCGCAACTAGTCATCTCAGACTGGTGTCTTGAACATGACAATGAGTTCACTGTAGTCAAATGGCCACTACAGTCACCAGGCCTCAATCCAATAGAGCACCTTTGGGATGTAGTGGAACAAGAGATTGGCATCATGAATGCGGAGCCGACAAATCTGCAGCAACTGTGTGATGCCATCATGTCAATATGGAGCAAAATCTCTGAGGAATATTTCCAGCAGCTTGCTGAATCTCTGCCACGAAGGATTAAGGAGGTTCTGAAGGCAAAAGGGGGTTCAACCTGGTACTAGTAAGTCGTACCTAATAAAGTGGCCAGCTAGTGTATCATCTTCTGTGATCAACAACAAAGAAACTCATAAAGGTTTGAAACCACTGACGGTGAGTAAATAGTGAGTACGTTTTCATTTTTGGATGAGCACATGCTATTTACAGTCGGTTACTGTATAAAAATGTAATAAATTAAGATGTACATACCTTAATATATCTGAGAAAATCAAAATAAGCCAATCAGCTATCAGAATGTAGTAAACATTTATTTATTCATTTTCTGCCGCTTTTCCAGGGTCGGGTCGCGGGGGCAGCAGACTTCCCTCTCCCCAGGCACTTCCTCCAGCTCCTCCGGGGATGAACCTGAGGCATTCCCGAGAGACTAAGGGTGCTTTCACACCTGTGAATCGATTCAGTTGTTCCGAAACAGAGATTACAATTGTTACATTGTTGCTCTTTGCTCTTGGAGCGGTTCGCTTTCACACTGCAAAGTTTCTAATCAGACCAAAAGAGCTAAAACAAGTCACGTGCGAGTAAACTCTGCTCACATTGGTCAGAGTGTCAGGGTTTATTTTGCAGCGTCCCGCTCAGCTGTCAGGAGAGGTGGTGGTTTGGTGGTGATTGACAGGGTGCGCGCGCGACAAGTCTGAGGAGAGATGCGGTGGGGAGGGGTGAGAAGGGTGCGCGACGATGCCTATTTGAGGACCGGGAGGGAGATGTGAGATTACCGGGAGATCATCACTCGTTTGCGGGCATCCGGAGACTCGCGAAACTTCCCGCCCTACTCATAATTCTCTCTTCATATAGCCGTAAGCCTATTACAAATCCATAAAACACTGTGATATAACCGCGCTCGGATCGGATCGCTTTCTCACTGCAATCGAACCGCTTCAGGGTTCGTTTCAATCAAGCGATCTCGGAGCGATTACTTTGGCGCGATTGCCCTGTTCACATATGCCAAACGAACCGCGCTAACTGGGCAAACGAGATACGTTCCGAAACAAAAGTGTAGGTGTGAAAGCACCCTTAGTCTCTCCAGCGTGTCCTGGGTCTTCCCCGAGGCCTCCTCCTGGTGGGACATGCCTGGAACACCTCCTTAGGTAGGCGTCCAGGAGGCATCCGAAAACAGATGCCCGAGCCACCTCAGCTGACTTCTCTCGATGTGGAGGAGCAGCGGCTCTACTCAGAGTTCCTCCCGGGTGTCAGAGCTCCTCACCCTATCCATAAGAGTGCGCCCTGCCACCCTTCGAAGGATCTCATTTCAGCCGCTTGTATCCGAGATCTTGTCCTTTTGGTCATGACCCAAAGCTCAAGACCATAGGTGAGAGTAGGAACGTAGATTGAACGGTAAATCGAGAGCTTTGACTTTTAGCTCAGCTCCTTCTTCACCACAACAGACCGGTACATTGACTGCATTATTGCTGCACCAATCCGTCAATCTCACGCTCCAACCTTCCCTCACTCCTAAACAAAACCCTGAGATACTTGAACTCCTCCACCTGGGGTGAGGACTTGCCTCCAGCCTGGAGATGGCAAACCAGCTTTTTCCAGTGGAGCACCATGGCCTCGGACTTGAAGGTGCTGATTCTCATCCCAGCCGCGTCACACTATGTAGTAAACATAGTAAGTGTATTTTTGTACGCACACTATAATCTACTGTTTCACTTCATTAAACTCCATATAAAAGCCAGAAACTATCTAAAGGGTTAATCCCAACAGGGAAAACCAGCAACAATTGAGAATACACGATTATAAGCTGTCATAACTTTTACAATCAAAACATGTAGTTATAATGGAAGTCAATGGGGCAAAAACAGCCCCCAACACAACGAGTGTAGCCAATCTGAACAACACCCAAGGGTTAATCACCTGACTCTCAGCTTCAGCTCATGTGTGTCAATCCCTGAGCCACGCTGTGCATATTTCCAGACTCGCATCACAGGACAGAGAATAGAGGGAAGCGAATGAAGCTATGGGATGAGAGCAGAGGGAGTGACGGAGGGATGAAAGGAAGAGCAGTTGTCTGATGTGATGTGCGGATCAAAGGTGGAGCAGCCCAAAGTGCCATCTCTAATAGCCGTTGCTTAGCAACATCATAAAAAGACACACACAGAGAGTGTGTGTGTGTGTGTCCGTATAAAAGAGATGGACAGAGTCCTACAAAGACAAAAGTTAATATTTATTAAACCTAAACAAATGGCACATGGAAAGAAGGCAACAAAAGCACCGATATAAACCAGGCGTTCAGATTAAAAACGAACCAAAACAATCTCACAGAAACAGCTGGAACTGCGACCACTTCCACATATTAGATCACTTCCAAGTGAAATACTCCCAGAGAAAATACTATTGATTATTTTGTACCATATTGCAGCATAAATCTCCCTCAGATAAGCAAAAACATGTCAGCGTCGCACTTTATCCTTAGTGTAACTCCAAATATTACAGCCGATTATTTTATCCATTTAAAAATAAATAACTAAATGGAGGAAAAGGATGGTAATGTCACCTAAAAACCTTCCTCAATTTGATGGAAAATGTGACCTGAACATGTTTTTGTGAGATTCTAGTGAAAACAGTCCATGCCTGCTGGTGCGGCAGGTTTTGGAGACGTCTGCGAGTCCCACAACAGCAGTAAGTGCCAGAGTGTGTGTGTGTGTGTGTGAGTCCAGTTTAAACACAAGATGACACATGTATGTCTGAGGTGTTGTGCTTTGCTGGACTCTACTATAAACAGTCCATTGAGTTGTCTGGCATGAGTCCGAGGGGCGGGGCTTTGCCAGGCATGCATGTGGGCGGGAGCATGGCGTTGGGGGCGGGGTCTACATTCTCGGAGTCTTCCATCTTGTCCATTGTGGCCTCCCAGTTGATGTGGAAGCGCGTCACTCGAGGGTTTGAGGCCAAGATGTTTCTTTGCAGCTGGGATGAGAATTGATAAGGAGAAGAGTCATTTTAATGGTCAAACTATTTTTTTTTTTACATTTATGGATTACTTAAAGAGATAATTTACCCCAAAAAATGAAAATTTACTAACTATTTGCTCACTTTTTCCTGTTGAACACAAGAGAAAATATTAGGAATGCTTAAAATGCAGCCATAGACATCCATAGAAGAAACAAAAAAAACTATGGAAGCCAATTGCTGTTTTTTCTCAGCATTCTTCAGTATATCTTCATTAGCGTTCAATAGATGAAAGAAATGCAAACTGGTTTGGATCAAGAAGAGCAGGGGTTTCCAAACTTTCCAGCTTACAACCCCCAAAATAATTATTCTAGTGACCCGCGACCCCCACAGAGGTGGTTATAAACACATAAACACTGCACACACACCAGTAGGAACTATATAAACGAGCTTATTGACAACACAAGAACGATGCAACAGTCTAACAACCATGTCCTTATTTATATTCAATATTCATTTGTTTGATTTAATATTAAACTCTGAATTGCACAAGACTTCTCTTGGTTTAATTTTGAAGAACTTTACTTCCACTTAGAGAACATCCTTTACGTTCAGTCGTGGCCTTGATTTTTAATGTATGTGAGTGCTGTAAAGGTGTCAAAGTTTAACATTGTGCTGTAAAATCGATCTGCTGCATCTAACACTATTTCTGTGTTGTTAATGTAGTGTAACCCCAGGGGTCGCAATCAGCTGGAAAAGAATTGAAAGGCTGGCGGCTTTTTGTTTGCTTGTTGTTTTTATATACATTTGAAGTCAGAATTATTCGCCCCCCTGTGTATTTTTTTCCCCTATTTCTGTTTAACCGAGATTTTCTCAACACATTCCTAATCATAATAGTTTTAATAGCTCATTTCTAATTTCTGATTTATTTTATTTTTGCTATGATGACAGTAAATAATATTTGACTAGATCTTCTTCAAGACAGCTTAAAGTGACATTTAAAGGCTGAACTAGGGTAATTAGGTTAACTAGGCAGGTTAGGGTAATTAGGCAAGTCATTGTACAACAATGGTTTGTTCTGTAGACTCTCAAAAAATAGCTTAAAGGGGCTATTTTTTATTATTTAATAAAAAAAAATTATTAAAATTGCTTTCATTCTAGCCGAAATAAAAAAAGAAAAAATATATTATCAGACATCTGAATGTTTTTTTGCTCTGTTAAACATCATTTGGGAAATATAAAAAAAAAATGAAAGGGGGCGGGGGGGAGGGGGGGTCCTAATAATTAAAATAATATAAACTTCAACTGCAACTATTAAATACTATTTTTTTTCTTCTGTAGTTTATGTTTTGCGACCCCCAGTTTGGGAACCACTGAAGTAGAGGATGAGGAAGTGATGAGAATTAAACATTTTTGGGTGAGCTGTCCCTTTAAGTGTTTATTATATATTAGTTATTCATGCAAGCCTCTATTTTGTTTTAAATTTGGCGCGTTAATAGCAGGCCTGTTGCAATTAAGGATTTTTGTTACGCGATATATAGTCACAAAAATTGTTGTGATAAACAATATTATTGCCATTTTGAAATAATTTTATTCCACTGAATATATAATTATAATGCAGGATTTCTGCAGGTTTCACAAAGTCAAATATAACACCTTTTTAAGACCATAATAAATGAAGTTTCAGACTTATTTTGGGCTAAACGTGAACTTTTTTTTTAAATGGCCAAGCAAAAAATAAATAAATAAAATAATTACTTGCCTCTTAAAATTAAATTCTGTTTAGCTATTTCTTAGCCACGTATTTTAAATAATTTGTGAAAACAAGCACTCTAGATGTAAACAAAAAATATTATTCAACCTAACTGTTGAGATGTATTGTTGGTGATTGAATGTGTGTTGGATTAATTGGGCAATTGGGTAGCTTTAAATTAACAAGAGGAAATTAAGACCCGTTTAAATGATTTAAGACTTACAAGACAATATTTCAGTGAATTTAAAACATTTTAAGGCATACAAGTTTGTTTTTAAAATTTAAGACTTAAGACTCTGCATATAGCCTGTTATTTAACAGCATAATAATGCAAAGAGCCAAAAACCCTTTCAAGAAACTAATGCTTTTCATTCTTAAACTTATTTAGATTCTGTAATTTCTGTAATGTACAATTATACATCCTATTAATTAAATGTCCAATTATTAACAAAATGTAAATGTCCTTTTAAAGTGGCTTTAAGGTCATAGTGTGAATTTGTAAAATTCTACTAAAACACCAAAAATGATTGAAGTCATGTAAATAGCATGACAAGTCGGTATATTGATTATTGTGAAAGGCCCAGTTTATAGTCTAAGTCTATCATTAACATGTCTTCCCCTCCCTCTTCATTGACATCTCTGCTCTGATTGGTGGATTTACTTGCTTGTGGGTGGGATCAACCTGTCATTTAAGTGAAATCCACCAATAGCGAACCAGTATCATCAGACCATACAATCAAATCAGTACAGACAAAATTTAATCCTATTTGTTTTAAAAAGAGAATGTATAGCAACTACTAAATACTGAGTTCTAACAATACTCCATATAATATATATTTATAATACAGCCTGATTAATTAATCTTATTGTGTAATATATATATATATATATATATATATATATATATATATATATATATATATATATATATATATATATATACAGTTGAAGAAATTATTAGCCCCCTTCAAATTTTTTCCTTTTTTTTTTATATTTTCCAAATTATGTGTAACAGAGCAAGAAAATTTTCACTGTGTGTCTAATAATATTTTTTCTTCTGGAGAAAGTCTTATTTGTTTTATTTCGGCTAGAATAAAAGCTGCTATTAATTTTTTAAACACCATTTTAGGGACAAAATTATTAGCCCCTTTAAGTCAAAATTTTTTCTTGATAATCTACAGAACAAACCATCATTATACAATAACTTGCCTAATTACCCAAACCTGTCTAGTTAACCTAATTAACCTAGTGAAGCCTTTAAATGTCACTTTAAGCTGTATAGAAGTGTCTTGAAAAATATCTAGTAAAATATTATTTACTGTCATCATGACAAAGATAAAATAAATCAGTTATTAGAGATGAGTTATTAAAACTATTATGTTGAGAAATCTTCTCTCCGTTAAACAGAAATTGGGGAAAAAATAAACAAGTGGTCTAATAATTCAGGGGGGCTAATAATTCTGACTTCAACTGTGTGTGTGTGTGTGTGTGTGTGTGTGTGTGTGTGTGTGTGTGTGTGTGTATATATATATATATATATATATACACACACACACACACACACACACACACACACACACACACTAGTATTTGCTCAAACTGAGCACAACAATTCAGTAGTTTTTGTTTTTATTCATTTTTATATTGAAGATGTTTCATTAAATGCTGAAAATACCTTTAACTAAGATTAATTAGTGCTTTAAATCAATCCAATGTAAACCAATACTTCAAAGGTTCCAATATATTATTATTTAAGTTAAAGTAATCGAGTTTAACATGCTCTTCAAACACATCGCTCAATTCCTCACAGAATGAAATCAGGAAATACAAGATTCTGCAGGAACACAAACAATGCCAGAGAGCCGGAATCGTTTAGCAGAATTAATGAATTACAAAAGATCCTGGGCTATAAATGGCAGCCACCTGCCTCTTTGATCTGACCGCCATTACCACATTTCAAATGCAGCAGATCTGTTACACAAATAACTCTTAATATACGACATGCATAATGTGTGCCGAGCGTTAATAGGCTTTTATTGTCTGAATTCACTTTCCCTTTCATTTCTATAGAAAAGATCATTATATGGAAATGCATGAGCAATAGATTAATCATGCAGTCGTATGACTTAAAATATGCAAAAGTGGCTTAAAATTTCTAATTGTTTCTGTGGATTAGTTCAATTTGTTAATCCAGAGTCAAAACACTTGCATAAAACACAAAAACAAAACAAAAAGAGCTTCAGGGGTAATTAATATGTTGGAAGATATGTGATTCATAAAGATATACAAAAATACATGTCGGAAATGCACAAGTGCTGTTTTTTTAAATAATTGTCATGTTAATAAAGGCTTTTTAACTATTTTAAATGTTTTGGACTGATGATTTTTTGTAAAAGGTGTTTGCATAATCACAAATGCTCAAAGACATCATAGAAAGAGAGTTTTTATTAATATAAATCCTATTTAATACTGGGCGACATGGTGGTTAGCAATGTCGCCTCACAGGCCGCTAGTTTGAGTCCTCTCTGGGTCAGATGGCATTTCTGTGTGGAGTTTGCATGTTCTGCACCATGTTGCTGTGGATTTCCCCCACAACTAGGCATGGGCCGGTATAAGATTCTGACGGTGTGATAACCTTAGATAAAAATATCACAGTTTCACAATATTGTGATTACTGCTCTAAAATATGATCTTTTTAGATGTCTGGGTAAAAAACTAAAACTTTTCCCCTTATCGGCTAAATTGACCTCTGCTGTCTCCATGTTTTCTAAAACACTATATTTAAAACGTCATCTTTGAATATTGTTTCTGCCGGAGATACTGTTGTCCTAAAAAAATACATGCCTAAGGAACGGTATAGCAAAAATGTTTTTTCTTCCAAATGAAGTCAATGAATTAATGAAGTCGTAAACACCACATTGCTTTCCGGTTCCGCTTATCTGATTTGATGTTTTGAGCGTGCTATTTTTTTCCGCAACCTGTGAACAACCAGTACAGAAAAGAAACGGCAACATGGCGGCAACATCAAATTATAAGGCTAAAAGAAAATGCCTGTTTCTGATGTCTTGGAAGCAGAAATGTACGTTTTAACAACGTGACAAAAACAAACAAAAAAAGGAGTGATGTTTTGCACTGTTTGCCCACAGTCAGCCCACCTTTTGTTAAATAATTTCGAACCCCAATAAAATACCTGCACATTTTCCATACTGCTCTTTTTGTTTGCATAACACTTATATTAACACTTAAAAGTGTTAATAAATATATTAACACTTTTATGTTTTTTTTAAGTATTGAAATTCTAGATTCACAGGTTTTGTTTAAAATATGCGGCTGAAAAATAGCTATTAACTTTTGCTTTTTGGTGGGGCCAGTAAAAATTTTGGCGGGGCAAGTAAAAATCTAAACCACTTGCCCGATCAGACCAGTGGAAAAAATCCATAGTGTTGAACCCTGTTGTGTATGGATGTTTTCAAGCACTGGGTTCCAGCCGTAAGGTAATCCGCCGTGTAAAACATGCTGGATAAGTTGGCGGTTCATTCCGCTGTGGTGACCCCTGATGAATAAAGGGACTAAGCCGAAGGAAAATGAATGAATGAATGAATAATGTTCCATTATATTCAGGGTAACAAGTGTATCCATGTAAAAATGTAGTAACACTTGTGTGGCCATCAATAAAAAAATCATCAATAAAAGCATCAAGCAATCAATAAAAAAACGTATATAATAACAAAAACTGATTTAAGATTTTTAATATTTCAGAGTTAATCTGTGATTCCTAAATGTCTTTTAAGATGTGATCAAATGACTCATGTTCTAAATACGGGTGACTTTTAATTTATAAACTATTATAACAATATTGTAGTGGGTGTTATTTATAAAACATGACGAACATGTATGATCATATTTTTTCTCAGGGATTAAAAATACTGAACGCATTATAATGTACACAAATTAAAAACATCACCTTCCTAATTTGATCCTTTTTTGCTTGTTTTTGCGTACTTTGGCCATTAAAGGGGACCTATTATACCTCGTTTTACAAAATAAAAAAAAGTTTTAGCTCAAAATGATGTTTATAACTCTTTGAAATTGACCCTTTTAGGGTTTGATCCGAATGTGGCGTTTTGGTGACTGTCGCTTTAAATTCAAATGAGCTTTTTAAAAGAGGGCGGAGCTACAAATGCCTATGTGTTAGCATAGTGGCAGATTCAAAAACAAGAGTAATGTTTTATGCTAATGAGGGAAGGATGGTCACCAGTGGGCGGGGCTTTCCCCCTCAGATGACACGTACAAAGAGAGAATGTCAATCAAAGTGTTTCTGCAGACAAAGTGTGATTATAAAAAATTTAATTAATACATTTTTTCTATTAAACGCTGGATATTTTCAGACTGTTGCCACAAAACTGTGCTTAAACCTGTTTTAAAAGTTATTTTTGCAAAATAGGTCACTTTTAAACCAGTTTGTTTTCAACTGTTCTGCAATATTAGTGTATAAGTCAGTCTAAGTGTGATATCTAACCTGTGTGTAGTCGGGTTTGACCGGCGGGTTTTCCCGTAGCTCAGGGTCTGTGTACTCATTGTTCACATAGTAGCCAATGCGGATGAATTCCTGTCCCCGATAGGTGCATGTGATCAGCACTACGGTCACGCCCACCGCGTCACTCTCAGGGATCAGCCCTGTGTTTGGTGCATCCGCCTGTCAATCAAACACATAAAAACAACATGATGCTTTCAATTACGTCTAAAACATCAAAGCAACATCAGAAATAAACCAGGGATATTCCTGCACAGAGGCAAATATACTTGATAAGATTACAAGAATAATTCGAAATGTGTTTGATTGAAGTTGCTAAAACTTTCATGATCGTGATATTACTTCCACCTCATTTTCAGCTAGGCTAAAACTCTTTTAAGCATAGATCTAAACAATAATGTGGCTAGCAATGCTAACTTTAATGCTATTTTGTTTAATGTTGCATTTAAACCAGTGTTTCTCAACCACGTTCCAGGAGGACCACCAGCACTGCATGTTTTGGATGTCTCCTTTGACTCCCATTACAGGTCATTCAGTCTCTAATAATGAGCTGATGATCTGAATCAGGTGTGTTTAGTTAAGGAGACATGGAAAATGTGCAGAGCTGGTGGGCCTCCAGGAATGTGGTTGAGAAGCACTAATTTAAACAAATCTCCCCAATGCATTTTATGCACCTTACTGATGCACTTTCTCAGTTCATCTATAGATGGCAGTGCGCTGCAATTTATTTATTTTAATTTAAAAGGGTTTGGATGAAAGTAGATAACTGGCCAACCTGAAACACAAACATGTGTCTGCCAGCAGGAACCGGACCGACCAGAACCGAGTCCAGAATCTGGTCATACTCTTCACTCTCTGCAGAGCCCACGTAGATGATCTTCCACTCCAGATCTGAGACAGGCGGAAACAGAGGGATATTAGCAACTGAGGTTTATAACGGCTAGTGGAAACATACTCAAATCTCAAGTGCACTAAGCAGTTTGTATATAATGAACTACTAGTGATGTTCACTAGTAAAATATGAGCAGGCAAACAAACTTAGCAAGGATACATTATTGATGTATTTCAGGAATAATATAATTATACTAATATTATTATCATTTAATAATAATTATATAATTTATTTTATTTGAATTATTTACAATACAGTTTGTGAAGTAAAATTTTCTGTCTTTTAGTAGATATATTATGTGAGAGACTTGTTTTGTTTACCAAATAAGTGGATCTAATTGGATTTGCACTGTAAACATTAAAGTTAAACATTTATAATTTTTTATTTCATAAACTATTTTTTTTAGTTATAATACTCCTAAAATTGATCCGCTTAAATCAGCATTTTTTTTTTACAAAATTATCCACTGAAATAGCCAAAAATGTCTGCAGATTCTGTCTGGCCCTACTTATAACCTTTGCTTATAGCTTAGCTTTAAAATAACAAAATAAAAAGATGTTTACATTTTTGTTTTTAAATATTTATATATTTTTAATTTTCAGATTTATTTGCAACTGTTCTTATGTTTAAAAAAGAACATACAGTACCTTACAGTTATTTTTGCAGCCATACTATTACGTTCCTCTTACGTTACAAAAACTTTTTTTTTCCGTCAAGAAAACTTTATAAAATGACCAAAAATAAACTTTAATGAGTACGTTTGGGACCCAAGAATTGTTACGAGGTAATGTTACCTCAAAAAATCATAACTTAAAGTTTGAGAAAGAAATAACATAAAACATTTTGATTGAACTCTAAAAGCAAACATATTATAAATACAATTTTAAGTGTTTTAGCATGTTTTTGTTATTATAGCAAAGGTCATTCGGTTCAGAAATGATTTTGGGTGTATACACTACAGTGCCGTACTGAAATTTATTTTATTTTATTTAACCTTCAAATAACAAACAGGCATTTTCAGCTTCCATTGTTAAACATGTATAACATTATATCCAAGCAGAATATAATAAACAAAACAGTACAAAATAATAATAATACATAAACCTTAAATAACGTAAAAGAAAATTCAGTACAGAGGGCGAAGCAGTGGCGCAGTAGGTAGTGCTGTCGCCTTACAGCAAGAAGGTCGCTGGTTCGCGCCTCGGCTCAGTTTGTGTTTCTGTGTGGAGTTTGCATGTTCTCCCTGTGTTCGTGTGGGTTTCCCCACAGTCCAAAGATATGCGGTACAGGTGAATTGGGTAGGCTAAATTGTTCATAGTGTATGAGTGTGTGCCGGATGTTTCCCAGAGATGAGTTGCGGCTGTAAGGGCATCCGCTGTGTAAAAACTTGCTGGATAAGTTGGCGGTTCATTCTGCTGTGGCGACCACGGATTAATAAAGGGACTAAGCCGATAAGAAAACGAATGAATGAATGAAAATATGTTACATTCAGAGGGGTCAGATAATATAAGTTGACAAAAGCTTAGAGAGCTTTGAGGCACGTTTTGTTTTAACCTGTTTAATGGATTTATATAAAATGTTGAAAAATTTTTTAAATGCTATTAAACAAGGAGAAACATTTGTGAATATAACATTTAGCTAAAATCAACACATTATTACACAGAAATTCAATTTCTTTGTTTTTCATAAAAATGCCAAATTTCACAATGTGATAGTCAAATGCAAATATATATTTTTTTGTTATCAACCTCTCATACAATCTGTGCCAAAAGGATTTGACAATAAAACAACTAACCTATTAAAAAAAGATGTTCCTGAGATTTAATATCTTTCAAGCTGAAAATATAAGCATCACTGTCTAAATTAAATCCTATTCTAAGAAATTTATTACATAGATAAATGTTATTAATTTATTTGAAATGTACTTCTTTCATTTTAGGTAACACGGGAAATGTAGGTATCTTTTTCTAACTTCAATAGTCTCCGCTTTAATGAAAATAAGGAAAGTTCTGCCTCAAAATCTCCATAGCGCTTCCCGACACGTGACGTCACGAAATATCCAACCAATCTGAGCCAGCAAAAAAGCATTAGACACGCCCCGGTTGTACTATCTGGCTAATCAGTGATGGAGGGACGGCCGCGCGCGCTGTCATCGAACTACGCGCCGGCGCCAAAATATTAAGCGCGTGAACATTATCAACCGACAATAAAGGCATTTTCCCGCTTAAATCACAACGAATATTAGCGTGATTCTCGCTACTGGAGGTAAAACGATAGTGTAAAACGCACCTACAGTCTTGGGAATGTCATTATTTACACAGCACTCGACAAAAGAATTGATGTATAGTGTATTATTGTGGTAATTGTCGAAATCTCTCACCTTCAGGTAAGTCCTCCATACACTCAAATGTAATCTCGAACTGAAACGGGTTTCCAAAAGGACTGGGGTTATCCAGAACAGCCACATTCAGCACCTGCACTTTAGCCATGATGGCTCACACCTCTTCAGCTACAAAAAAATTGGCCTTGTGTTTATGGATGAGAGAGTCGCTCAAAAAACTGTCCAAAGCACTGTTAGATCTGAAGTAAATCCGGAGTAAGTGTAAAACCGAAGTCCGACTGACAAAACGATCCTCGAGTGGAGCAGGTGAAGAAGCGGAAGTTTCTCTTAATCGCGTTATTTAGTACTTTTTAAACTAATCATATGCTCGCCACGCATCCATTTTACTTACTGCTGGGACATCTCAAAGAACAAGTCATTTAGTGCAGGTTTTACACAAACATGGTTAGAAGTAACAAAATTAAAGACTGAAAATCAGTTATTTCAGTTAAAACCTTACTGTAAAACCTCCCTAAATAATAAAAAGACACTGAATGACAGAAGCAAGTGCTCTCGTGATGATGCTTCTCTTCTTCTTTGATCACTTCAGTGGTATAAGCCTGCTCTCTGCTGCGTCCTTCTGGACTGGAGAATAAAACAAGACCCCTGTCCATTTTATTAAAACAGACGAGTAATAATAGCTAGAATAATATTATGTTTAAGGGTAATTCTTCAACTACGGGCACTTTAATGTCCTTTGATTATATATATATATATATATATATATATATATATATATATATATATATATATATATATATATATATGTAATCAAAGGAATTTGAACAAAATTATATATATTTTTGTATATATATATATATATATATATATATATATATATATATATATATATACATACATACATACATACATACATATATATCCAAAAATATATATAATTTTGTTCAAATTCCTCTTTCTTTGTCAAACTAACAATAAAACCTACTTTTAAAAAATGACTACCTTTTCTATTATATTTTTAAAATATTTTTCAACCTCCTTTTAGGTGTCAAAATCACTGTTTTCACCTTGTCGCACACCCAGAGTTTTAAAGTTCAACAAAGAAAATAACTTTTTTGATAATATTTATCTGTTATCTATTAATGTATCTTAGTTAAGCACTAGTGAAATAATTTAATTATTTTTTGGTTGTTAATGTGAGACTATTATCAATATTATTTTTTATACAAAATATAGCTGTCGCTCAGTATCAGTGTCATTTCCACCACAACACTGTAATGTCGTTTTAAAAAGTTTGTGTGAGATTATTGAGGTGGTTTCTATGAGAATGAATTGACCTTATTCTCCGCAGACGAGCGGGTGCTGCCATTTGAATCTTTTTGGCACGAGACTTCCGGTCTCATTCACTTCCATTCATTTTTAGACATTAAAAACTGCTCGTTTCGCTGTTTGATGTTGCAAACTGATATTTCCTTATTATAGTATTCTACTTGGTCTGTATAGTCATGCAAACATTTGTATGTAGAGCAAGTAGTTTGACCGTTTTTTGCCGTTTATTATTCCTTGTCATTTCTCCCATAGGCGACTGAAACGGAAGTTCTCTAAGACAATCGCGAAAACAGGCGCACTTCCGCATTTAGGAATAAGGTCAATAGTGCCATCTGAGAACATGTTCAAGATGGAGGAAATGTAAATGTTTATCAGCAACACTTGAAGAAAAATCAAGGTAAATATTGCTTGATGGGTAAATACATTTATTCTACATCATTTCCAAACATGCTGTACCTTTAAAGATGATTTTAAAAACCAAACAAAATTAAGTTAAATCATTTTTTCACAATAAACTGTTGAAATGTCATTTCCATCACCACACACATTTAAAAAAATATTTAAAAAGTTCTCATCACACATTAGAAGTGTATTCACAGTGTATAAGTTCATGCTCTATTTAATATACAAATTCAGTTGATTTATTTTCTAATAAGCTCTTAATCAAATTATTATTACATTTTAGAGTGTGACTGGAGCACAATTCAGCATACAACTAATTTATTTCATTGACAAATGTATAATTATTGTATATATTGTGGAAAGATTGATTAAACTAGATACAAAAATGATTTTAAGTTTTACCTCTTATAGATCTTAAAACAAAATTGTTTAAACTTATGTGGCTGTGTTACGATAATTTTAAACAAGTTTTTTTATTCAACTTTACAAGGCTAAAAGCGCCCGTAATTGAAGAATTGCCCTTAAACAGAGCTCAAAACAATGATATAAGGAGTGCTCAACATTAACATATGTATCATGTAAAATCACAGATAGCCCAATAGTGTGACTCTATAGGCCTATAGGAAAATAGGAAAAAATAAGGAAAAATTGATCTTTAAAATTTTAATTAAGGAAAAATTAATGCATTATATTATTACAAATATTTTTAATAATTTGCTTTCCAAACACAAGTTACTTTATTTAACAGTTTAAAAAAATTATATATCAGAATTAGTAGCCGGCTAAACAGTTCTGTTAAATAATGTTAACATTGTTGCCTTACATAAACTGTAAATACTAAGAATACTACAATATGAAATTTGTGATTACAAGACTTTGTTACATTGGTAATTAATTCTGTATGTCCTCTATGGTGGTAGAAGTTTCCTTCAGTTATCTGTGAGGGGAATTACAAAATTTCCTGTATTGCACATAGTTGTGGGAGAACTTTTCACTAATTTAAAGGTATTTTAGGTTGAGTTATGATCAAACATTTTTATAACATACACGTTATTTTTACACCAATTATTATTATTGAGGTAATGTTGCTTTTATATCTGCACATTTGTTCATTTTAACCCTCCCTATATTGTTTACCACTCTAATTTGAATATTCGGTTATAAATTGCATATACTGTAAGTATATCACTTTAAATTAGCATTAGCAGTATTTAAATGACCGTGAACAGTGTTGCACTTTGATATTCGTTGGCTGCTAATATGATTTCCCTATTTAGAATAAGCAAATAATACTTTTACTGTCTATAAATTATAATATTAAAGAGAAAGTCTGAATGTGTGATTATGGAAGCAACTTTTACTCAATATTATTGTTGTAGAGATAGGAAATTAACCATTCAGGGCTTTTCTAAATTATATAAAGGTATATACATTATATATAGGCCCAATGCCCAACACACCTTTACATCATGTAAATACAAAACATTTATTTTGTACATGATTAATCACAAAAAAAAAAACCAACAACAAAAAAACTAATAATAATGACTCTTTTATACAATTGCCCACACGATGAAATTCTTCGAAACATCAATCAGAAAAGGTACAACAAAAATGACCCATACAGCAAATAATACATGTAAAGTCAATGCAAAGCTGGGTGAAATCTATTTTTCACAAAGGGCTTTAAATGTGAATGTGCATGGGACATCATTCCAGTTCTTCAGGAAGTTTTCTACAGGAACTATAATCACACAGTTTTCACCATTAAGATTGTTGGGCTCACCGTCAACCCAAAACCTGAATAAAAGGAGTCAGATTTTCAGTTTAATCCCAGTCGTTATCCACTCAGAAAATAATAAATGAGGAGCCACATTACCCACATAAAAAATAACACAGTAGTGTTTTTAAACTATACTATAGTAAAGTACAACACTATTAATGTATACATATTTACACATATACATACATACACACATATACATACACACTCACCGGCCACTTTATTAGGTACACCTGCTAGTTAACAAATTTCTCATGGCAGCAGCTCAATGCATTTAGGCATGTAGACATGGTCAAGAAAATCTGTTGCAGTTCAAAGCGAGCATCAGAATAGGAAAGAAAGGTGATTTAAGGGACTTTAAACGTGGCATGGTTGTTATTGCCAGACTGGCTGGTCTGAGTATTTCAGAAACTGCTGATCTACTAGGATTTTCACACACAAACATCTCTGGGGTTTACAGAGAATGTCCTGAAAAAGAGGAAATATCCAGTGAGCGGCAGTTCTGTGGGCGCAAATGCCTTGTTGATGCCAGAGGTCAGAGGAGAATGGCCAGACTGGTTCAGCCTGGTTTAAGCTGGACATAGCTGGTTTTGGCTGGGCTCCCAGCCTGGCTAGGCTGGTCAAGCTGATTTAAGCTGGATTTAGCTGGTCATTTTCCAGCCTGACCAGCTAAAACCAGGCTGGAAATGGCTGGAAACCAGCCTGGAAGTGGCCAAAACCCCTCTAAAACCAGCCTGGTTGACCAGCTAAAACCAGCCAACCAGCCTAGGCTGGTTTAAGCTGGATTTTTCAGCAGGGTGGTCAGTATTATTCTGATAGTCTCAACTTTTTAATGACTAAAACCTTTTCCATGAACGTTTTACCACTTACCCTTGTTTTAGTGGAGAATTATCCACCCATTTCATGTTGCCCTCGATCTCTTCGTCAGTCAAACCGATCCACAGAAAGTCCTCGACAAATGGAGATATGAACCTCTGTGTGTGAATATAAGCAGGATAAGAGTGATTCCTCCCACTCAATAACAAACACATAAACAGAAATACTCACCTGCTTCTCTTCAGTGTTAATAATGACCAGATCAGCTCCACGATCCCTGCAGAACTGCCTGCTCTCAGACCAGCTCATCGTATTATTGGAAATGAAAAACAAACCTGAACAACACACATTTTCACACACTTTTCAAAGCTGTATATGATATTAGCAGCTACTGACACGAAACATATTAGCACTGACCAAGACGATTAGAACCAGCCCGGGTGTGCTGCAGAATGACGAAGACCAGCAGAATTACACAAATAGTGCCGAGAATCACCGTCGCCAACATCAAACAACTGCGTCCTCACAAACACACACACAAAACATCAATTATTAACAGTTCACTGCAAATTATCTCACATTAAAATACAATATGTTTGTAACCATATTTGAATTGATCTGATTCTGTAGTTTTCTACAGCTATAGGGTAATTTATACTTCAATACACTACCATTACTGTAGTAAAAACTGATGTATACCACAGTATTAGTTTATCAGTTCACTATAGTTAACACAACTGTAACTGTTTGCTGTAGCACTGAAGTGTTTACAACACTATGATATAGACCAGGGGTGCCCAAACGTTTTCGTATGAAGGGCCAAAAACCAAATATCATCGACAGCCGTGGGCCGAAGGTGAATATACCAAACTATTTTACATTGAAGTTGCCATCTGTATGACACGGTGGCGCAGTAGGTAGTGCTGTCGCCTCACAGCAAGAAGGTCGCTGGTTTTAGCTTCAGCTGGGTCAGTTGGCATTTCTGTGTGGAGTTTGCATGTTCTCCCCACGTTTGCGTGGGTTTCCTCCGGGTGCTCCGGTTTCCCCCACAGTCCAAAGACATGCGGTACAGGTGAATTGGGTAGGCTAAATTGTCAATAGTGAATGAGTGTGTATGGATGTTTCCCAGAGATGGGTTGCAGCTGGAAGGGCATCTGCTGCAAATAATATATGCTGGATAAGTTGGCAGGTCATTCGGCTGTGGCGACCCCAGATTAATAAAGGGATTAAGCTGAAAAATGAATGAATGAATGCCATGGCCATAATATTTCAAAATAAACAGAAAACATTCATTTAAATAGTATTGACTAACGCAGTATAACTTTTAAAATGATAAATTATTGCAATTAAAACGTAAGCAATTACGTTTGTAACACAGTGGAGTTCAATGTTAAATACAGTCAAGCAGAATCTGCCTTTGACTTGATTTTCTCATCAAGTTTTCTGCATTGCCGGGTGACGGTATGTACATTTGAACAAAATCTGATTAGTTTACACCATTGAATTTTTTTAATATTATATTTTTATTTTCTTAAAGCAACACAGAGCAATACAAAAAGCAACAACAAATATAAAGACAAAAAAGAAAAGGCAAAAAAGGCAAAAGATTTTTTCTTTTTAAAACCATTATTACAACAGTTCCTCCAGTATTATACATGGGTCAACAACGTTAAACTTATACAGTTGAAGTCAGAATTATTAGCCCCCTTTTGATTTTTGATTATTATATTTTTTTTTACATATTTTCCAAATCATGTTTAACAGAGCAAGGAGATTTTGAAAGTATGTCTGATAATTTTTTTTTTTCTGGAGAAAGTCTTATTTGAAATATTTCGACCAGAATAAAAGCAGTTTTTTTTTTTAACCATTGTAAGGTCAATATTATTAGCCTCTTTGAGTTTTATTTTTTTTCTGATAATCTACAGAACAACCCATCATTATACAATAACTTGCCTAATTACCCCTTCTTTCCTAGTTAATCTAATGAACCTAGTTAAGCCTTTAAATGTCACTTTAAGCTGTATAGAAGTGTCTTGAAAATATATAATAAAATATTATTTACTGTCATCATGACAAAGATAAAATAAATCAGTTATTAGAAATGAGTTATTAAAACTATTATTATTAGAAATGTGTTGAAAAAAATCTCTCCATTAAACAGAAATTAGGTCAAAAATAAACAGGGGGCGAATAATTCTGACTTCAACTGTATATCTAGGCCAGTGGGCGCAGGCAATATGGTGATCTTGCAGACGATAACAGGGTTACACCTTTAAACCGCTATCCTGAGCATTTGACGAATAATTAAAAAAGGGTTTCCAGGTGGCCTCGAAGCCGGCAATGTTATCAGAGAGATTGTGTCTTAGTCTCTCTAAATGTAAAGTGGTAGAGAATTCAGAAAACCAGGATTTAAAAACTGGTGTTGATGCCTTTTTCCATAAACAAAGAATCATTTTGTTAACTAACACCATTTCTATATTGCACAAAGTGAGTCAGACCAACCAAAAACAGTGATTGCTGGATCAGGGCCAGGCTCACAAGAATAAGCCTCAGAGTAAAAGTTAAAAATTTTGCTCAAAAGGTTTTGGGCATGACCAAAGAAAGATGTCCTGAAGAGCAGATTCACATGTGTTACATTTAGAGGAGATGGAGGGGTAGAATTCATTAAGCTTAACTCTAGAATAATGAAGCCGATGTACTACTATATATTGGATTAGTTGATGTCTGGAGTTAATGTAACGTATTTATGACCTTGATAGACTTTGGTAATTTGAATGCCTAAATCTTTCTCCCAGGAATCTTTCAAATACAAGGTTGACATGTCAAACGGATCATTAAAAACTCACAACATTTATTTAAAACATTCTCCCTCTCTTCGCAGAATGCATGGCGGGCCAAATCATAGGTTATCGTTGGCCATCTTTGGCCAGCGGGAGCTAGTTTGGGCAATTTTGATATAGACCAGTTCAATGTGCTGATGTCATTGGCCCATGAACATTTTACTGCTTATTAAACTATTTCATAACAGTAACAAGAGGCAATTCAATGTTAAAACAGCTATCATAACATTATTTATCAATATGTGCCTCTTTTTGGATTCTCTGAAGCTATAGAAGTTAAAAATTTAAAACAGGAAATACTTTGGGAACATTGTTTTTGTCCACATCTATCAAATGGTTCAATTTGAGTTCAAGAACACTAACACTTTGGTTCAATAACACTAAAATAAGTCCCTGTTGTATTGTTGTTTTTGTGTAAAATACTTTTTTTTTTTTAAATCTACCCTGAAATCCAGTCTTTAAATAATACACTCTTTTCAAAATGACAGATGCTGAATTTCAGTACAATAAAACATCTAAACAAAAATATATGAACAGAAACGTAACTTCATGTTTATACACTTAATCAGAATTATTCACCTATTCTTCAGCAAAAATTATTCAGCTTGTTTGCATCTGTTTCTGCTCTGCGGACACAATCTCTGCTTCACACTGAATCTTTATTTGCTTACTGTTTTGTTGAGCTTTTCCTTCATCTTTGACATCTTCAACATTTTCATAAATGGTGTCCATCTCCATGATGTCCACGTAAGATGATGTTCACAGATGAGATGATCTTCAGAATGAGGAGTGTGTAGCCTTTTAAAATAGTGGAAGTGACAAACCACATCCGAATTCAATGCCCCACCTGATTACAAAACCCTAGAATAAGGTATCAAATGACGTGCTTATGAGATGTTTCAGTGTCAACGTTTTTTTTTTTTTTGTCTTCTTTGAACTAAATCAATCGACTACAAATAATGTTATAGAAGTAATCACCCTCATCTTTAGAAAATATAAAACATTTATTACAAGAAAACACTCATAAATATTACGTCAATGACAAAAAACTAATTTGACCCTTTTTAATCCTCCCCACCATTGCACATCCATCAGATGTTTGAGTCATTCTGGCCAAAAATATAGCTTAATTTTACATCCATACGTAATTTTAAATATATTTTTTTGCCAGAATGACACAAACATCTGATGGATTTGCAATGGTGGGGGAGATTAAAAAGGGTAAAACTAGTTTTATCCATATATATGTGTTTGTGTGTGTGTGTGTGGTATGTATAATACATTTTTGCCCTTGTTTTTTTCATTCATTCATTCATTCATTCATTCATTCATTTTCTTGTCGGCTTAGTCCCTTTATTAATCCGGGGTCGCCACAGCGGAATGAACCGCCAACTTATCCAGCAAGTTTTTGTGCAGCGGATGCCCTTCCAGCCGCAACCCATCTCTGGGAAACATCCACACACACTCTCATACACTACGGACAATTTAGCCTACCCAATTCCCCTGTACCGCATGTCTTTGGACTGTGGGGGAAACCGGAGCACCCGGAGGAAACCCACGCGAAGGCAGGGAGAACATGCAAATTCCACACAGAAACGCCAACTGAGCCGAGGTTCGAATCAGCGACCTTGTTTTTTTTTTTTTTTTTTTTTTATGGAATATATTTTAAATGTATTTAAAATCATTAGAATATATTTTTCCTAAGTATCTTCTAATAAAACTTCACTAATGTATGATTGGAGGAATATTTTTATGTAATAATGCCTAAAACCTCTAAAAGTTGTTTTCCTGTTAGTTAAAGCCCGTTTTCCGATAAACTTCACTGTGTAAGAACAATCTGATCCTTTCTGACATTAACGTGCTTATCATTTCCTAATCTGTGCTTCCTCATTTCGTTTCCTTACTTGAGAAATCGTAAATATTAGGAAATCAAGCCTCGTGAGCTCTGAACTGTGAAACTTCAGGCTTCTGCTGATTGTTGCGGGAAAATAAAAATCGACAAGAGCTCCATCTGCTGGAGAGTTTGTGTTTCAACTGAACTGCGGATTAAACATTTATTTATTTAGGATATTTAAACTCAAAATGTCCCCAAATACTTTTTGCTGTCTGAAGCCATTCTTCTAGCCATAGTTATCTGCTGAGCTCATTAAGTCAGCTTTATTTCAGTAGAACTTTTTACAGTGTAGATTCAGGTTGAATCAATGCATCATTTTTACAAATGAAAAATGCAGTGGCCTTGTTGTTGTTGTTGTTGTTGTTGTTATTTCACAAGTTGCTAGCAAATATCAGGCCAAGATTCCTGACTGAAGATGATGCCTTTATTGAACATCAAAGTTTTTTTTTTGTCCAGTAAGCACAAAAACTATTAATTTTAGTATTGAAATGTTATTGTCATTAGGGCCAGACAGAATCTGCAGACATTTGTTGCTGTTTTCTGCTGAGAATTTTGCAACAAAAATCTGTGGATTATGCGGAATGATTTTAGGAGTATCATTACTAAAAACTTGATACATGATATAAAACATTTTTAACTTTTATTTAATGTTTACAATGCAAATACAATTAGATCCACTTATTTGCTAAACAAAGCAAGTCTCACATAATATATCTACCAAAAGACAACAAATTACTTCACAAACTGTATTGTAAATAAATCATTTGAACATTTTAAAATTATTATTATTTTATCACAATAATATTAGTGAAAATAATTTAGAAACTAATTAAATATAAATGTATACACATTTACACATGTAAATACATAGGCATAGAATGATAGGCTAAAAATCTACGTATTTCTGCGTGCACAGATTCCGTGTCGGCCTACTCGTCATCCAATTTTAATAAAAGCTAGACAATCTATTTGTATTATTATTAATAGGGTATATGCCGAGCTAGTGCTGTTCCCATGCTGATACACTTCCGGGGCCTGTTTCAGTAAGGAGGTTCAAACAACTCAGAGTTTAAACTTGAACTCTGAGTTGATTTACCGAGAGATTAAAAACTCAGAGTTTTCGGTTTCAGAATAGCTGATCTGAGTTGGGTCAATCAACTTCGAGTAGACCAACTCAGAGTTAAGCGCGCACACCGTGACTTTAAAAAGGCATTATCAATGGAGCGCAGACATTACGAGTGACTATGGCAATATCCCAACAAACACATTTACGTTGTAGCGATGTCTGCACAACGTTGTATTTTTTCAAAGGCAACGTTGCCGCTTACGTGCTCGCTACATTGTCACAACGTAGAAATGTAAGACGTGAGAAGGCTGTAGCAACGTTGTCGTGCGACATTCAGCAACCGCGAGGCGGCGTTCTTACTACTTGTATTAATATTTTTTGTGGCAGTTTATCAATACTGCCTAGAATACAGGATAAGCAGCAATTCTTTTCCAGTATTGCTTAATATGAAATATTGTTCATTTATTTTTCCTATTTAATTTAACAACTGCATGTGTAAACTTTAAAGTGTTTAAAATAACACACAAATGAATATAATCAAACTTTTTATTATATATTTCACAACATTTAATACATACAGTACACATCTAATTTTAAGCAAACAGTATAAAGTTTATATATATATATATATATATATATATATATAATTAAACTAAAGGGTAAACAAACAAGAAAAGTAAACAAGAAATCATTAAAATGTAAATATACATATAAATAAATATATAAATTAAAATTCAGACACTGGGCAGTGAAGCTCTGGACTGGAGAATACAGCAGACCGGGGAGCGCAGCTGAAGACCAGTCGTAGTTGTTGGTATGGAGAAAGCAGTCAGAGGAAGAAACAAATCCAACAGATAATCCAGCTTCAGAGATCCAGAGTAGACAAATGTCAAAATAGGCAGTGAACAAGAGAGGACAGATGGAAACGACTATGACTAGCAAGTTATTGAAGTTTCAGACATTTATTGTAATTTCATTATATAAAATCTCCAGTGAGTAATTATGTAGCCTACTTTATTTTAATGCTTTAATAATATATCATATACCAAAATTACATACAATTCAATAAATTTAGAGATACAGGGAAAACAGGTTTGAGTTAACAGAAGTCAGAGTTAGTCTCCCAATACTTACTTAAATTATGAGAAGAGAAAGAACAGGCCCTGTAGTTGTGGCGTTGCTCACTGTAAATGAAATGTTAAAATTAGTGTCATTGCAATAACAGCTGTACAAAATAATAAAGTAATTTTTCATAAGCATGATCTATTTTCCACATTATGAACATGCTGTTTTAGGTAACAATACTACATTTATTATGATAGTAAATAGAGTAGTATACTTCTTACCTCATTCAATTATTCTTTCCATAGATCAGGAATTACAGCAACACTGATCTGAGGTGAATTCAACAGCTGAAAAAATTCTGAAAGACAAGTTACATAAGTAATTTGAAAACAACAGTGAGTGGTTAAACAATAGAGTTTTATGCAACTTACACATACTTAAAATCCAGAAATTATCAATAGAAGATTACCTCCATGTGAAAATAGCCTGTTGAGCAAAGAAACGAGTGGGTTTTAAATAAAACATCAAAAGATAAATCAAAATAGAAATTTAGACTAGCAGACCTTTTTATTAATATCTATATTAATCAGGCATATGAACATCAACTTATATACTTTAACTTATAGGGATAGCTCACCCAAAACTGACAATTCTGCCATTTAGCCTCATCCTTTATTTGATCCAAACTTATTTAGCTTTTTTTCTGCTAAACAATAAAAAAGATGTATTAAATAAAGCTGGAAAACTGTAACTATTTAATTAGTGTTTTCTTACTATGAAAGCAAATGCTTACAGTCTTTAGTGTTCAATAGAATAAAGAAACTTAAAGGTTTGGAATCACTTAGGCTATTATTTACAGGGCAAATAATTTGTGAGTACATATCATTTTTGAGTGAACTGTTCCTTTAACGGGACGCAAACTGCACAGAGATGTTTTGTATTTAAAAGTTATTTTGTGTGTTTTGTAAAAAGTGGGTCGGCTCGTGTGATAAAGTATCATACTGACTGATCACTATGGATATGGAAAAAACTGAACTTCAAAAACATTATTTTCCATTTGACTAAAGACTAAGCGTAGGTAAATAATCAGGAAATGTTTTATCGAAAGATTTAACATAATGATTTTAATGTTGTTGCCGTCCGTGAACGGAATGCTGAAATGTTACTCGCTCGTAATAACTTCATTACGGCTTTTGTGTGTGTGTAATGTTGGAACAGATTGTTGTCGAAATCGTAGGTTTGTTTGAATATTCACGATTTACGTATCTTATTTAGCAAGAAGAAATAAAACAATACTCACGTCTCCTCGGTCGTTGATGAATGAGACGACGGCTTGTTGAAATTTAAACTGATTCAGCTGTGACCAGTAAATGTTGTACAGTGGTTGTCCACGCCACATAAGCACAACCTAAAGTATGCGGCCCTCGTGATGTTTAAATGGCAACCTTATGACATCGTTGTGACAACGTTTAGCAACAACGTAGAATCCTCAACCTTTTTGCAAGGTTGGTACAACGTTGTAGGAAGGTCGCTACGTTGAGGCAACGTTGTGTGTTTGTTGGGATCTTATAAAAGAGATCACCATTTCTTTCTCCGGCTGAACTTGATGTTCTCATGCAAAGTTATAGCAAATATGAGCTTATATATTTGAAAAGAAGCAGCCATCAGTGAAGAAGAGACAGTTAGCGTGGAAAACAGCTGCTCAAGTTAATGCCTAATTTCACTTTTTAAGAACTTAAATATTTAAGTATAATAAAATAAGTAATGTAATTTGTGACGTTTATATATTTTTTTCTGAACTTTTTTTTATACATTTATTAGTTTTAAATGATTTAACAGTGCACTTGTGTGTCTGCCTTTTTATTGATCAAGTGATATAGGTTAATATAACATTTAGAAGGTAAGCAGTACTAAAAATTATTTTTAGAAAGAATAATAATCCCATTAATCTAGTTACAGTGCATATCGAAGGTGAATTTAATTTAATTATTTATAAAAAAAAAGGATAAGCCATTCTCGTACAGTTCTTCTGTGTGTGACTAAAATGTAGGCAATAGCTATGTTTCCATCCAAATATATTACATAAATGTATGTGCAAAACTGGAATATTGCATAAAAGATCCGAATAAAATTCCATCCAACGAGTCAAAGAGAAAAAAAATCGTCACTTCCTGATTAAACTGGCACCAAATATCAACAGTAAAAGCAGAATTTACTGTGGTAGAAGAAGCTGCGTCAATTAATTCTTTATTTAGCCTAATTAATGTACTTGCGCCTCGATGTCAGAAGACAACGCTGAAACACAATAAACACGTGGGGGCGTCTGAAGCCATGAGACGCGGAGACTCTTGACACGCACCAGACGCTCGGAGGTAATTAATAATATACACTAATACTGAAACAGTTAAGGCATTTTAGAATGACTAAAACAATATTTAAGACGTGTTACAGTGTGCTCAGCCTGCTGGGTTGTTCATTTACACACATTTTCATTATCATATGATCATGATCTTTTTTTTTAATGTACATGCTGTAATTTGTTCAGTAAAAGTGTTTCCATCGTCGTTTATGCGCAAATTTTCTATCAAATAAAAGTTTATCCTACTCAGTTATGCGCGTTTTTTATGCATATTTTAAAAAGTTATGTGCATCATGACGTTTTTATCAATCGTTTTTATGCACGTATCCAAAATAAGCATAAAAATAGGTGGGTGGAAACGTAAGGCTAAGGCGAGAAATACCGCTTCATCTTTAAAAAAGGGGAGGAGACCGACAGAAACTCTGAGTTTAGAGAATAAAACCTGCTTCTGACCAGGTTAGATTCACAGAGTAAGTTACCACAGTAACTGACTCTGAGTTAAAGTTACCTCTCTTTCAGAAACAGGCTTGACTTACCCTGCTTTCTCGAGTTTAACAAACCTGCCATTTTGAAACGGAAAACCCAGAGTTTCTCTCATTTCAGGGTTAAAATACTCTGAGTTTTCAGTTAACCTCCTTTCTGAAACAGGCCCCCGGTGACCTGTTATTGTGAACTTTTTCTCATTTTATACGGTTCCTTATACAGCATCGATGTTGTAATGTCATTAAAATACATTCAGTTAAATAAACTTTAGCATTTATTTAGTTACTCAAGCGTAAAACGAGACAAAAAGCTGTTTACTCGCACGCGCTCGTCAGAATCAGCAGGTTAGCGCAGAAGCTCCATTAAATATACTGGGGTAAAATAAATGCTCATATTATAAAGACATGGCGGGGGAAATGTGATTTAATGCAGTGCTTCTTGTACAATCTGAGACCCACTTTATATTAGATATCACTCAGCTAGTGGAGATCGCTGATTTTTGAAGAAAACAGACCTTAAACGCACCGGATTTTGCATTGCCATTCAATTCGCCGGAAACGATTAACCCAGGCTACTGGCAAATTAAAAGTCCTATTAGCATGCTTCAGCATATACCCCATTAAATAATGTCCTCATTCACTTGCTCCAAACCTGTTCGAGTTATCTTCAGAAGGAAGATATTCTGAAGAATGCTGGAAAAAAGCATTCATTAAATTCCAGAGTATTTTTAGTTTCTACTAAGGATGTCAGCAGCTACTGAATGTCAATAGCTGCTTTGTTTCTAGCATTCTGTATCTTGTTTGGTGTTCAAGGGGAGAAATTCATTCCTAAAACTGTCAAACCACTTGAGTGAGAAAACAATTATTGTTTATTATTATCTATGTATGCAAATCACACGATTTGTTCAAAAAACAAGAATATATTTCCAATGTTTCCTATTTAGAGTTTAGTACATGTAGGGCTTCTCATATTAAGGTGAGCATGTGCTAAATGACAGAAGCAAGTGCACTTGATTTTGAGTTTCTCTTCCTCTCTGTTTCCTTCAGTCAGCTAAAGCAGCTCTCTACTGCATCCTGCTGGCTGGAGGAAAACTCTCATAGACATCCATCAAGTGCATCAAATCAAAACTTTATTGTGATGATGATGAAGCAGTTAAACTCAAAAGCATCTCACACACTCGATATTAGAATATGATATAAAATAGTACAATGAAAAAGATGTTGGCGTATCACAGCAAAGACAAAATAATGGCAGCTAAATGCATTTTTTATCTGAATATCCACTGCTGATGCGGCAAGGAAAAGTACATTTAAAGGCATAAATGATATTTGTAAGCAGGTTATGTCAAAGATGCTAATGATCATTTTACTAATTATTTTATAACAAGACTGAATGAACCCTATTTCTCACAAATGCCTTTTTTCCCTCTTGAGCACGGTTCGTCATTCCAGTTGTTCAGGACGGGTCGTGTAGGCGTCAGTTCAACACAGTCTTCATTTACACCTGCATTATTCGGCTCACCACTGGCCCAGAACCTGAATAACATGTATCAGATTTATGTATCACTCAAATCACAATGTAAAAACCCTGGTATACTTCAAACAAAATACTTTTTATTTCTTTATTTATAGACAAAAAAGGCTGAGTGATGCTTTACTGTTTTATACACTCGGACACCCCCATGGTGTAGTAGGTGGGGTTGTAAATGTGTCACGTTGCGCAATGATGGCGGATGAGAGTGTTATAACCATTTTTTAAGAAAGTGTTCTTTAATCTAGTTATCTAGTAATTAAGACTTGTTTGTGTTTCGTTAAAATCATGGGCATTGCTAGGCCTGTTTTGGGGGGGCTGTAGCTGTTATCATTCAGATCGTGAAATATGTGAAGTAGCCTGTAAGTAAAAAAATAATAATAATAAAATAAAATTATATATATATATATATATATATATATATATATATATTTATTTATTTATTTATTTATATGTGTACCATTTAATTAGAAAAGTGGCAGTTTATTTATTTAATACAAAAAATGCACTTGAATATAGAAAGTAGTTTTACTACAGTAAACAGGTGGGTTGAGCCTATTTGCCTATTTGGCTTACTCAGCTTATGTAATACAGTGGAATACAACTATACAACCCTACCATATTAAACAAACATTTTTAAGTGTATTACTATTGAATTACTACTTATAAATGTAATATTTTGCTTTATATATATATATATATATATATATATATATATATATATATATATATATATATGTATATATATATATATGTATGTGTGTGTGTGTGTGTGTGTGTGTGTGTGTGTGTGTGTATATATATATATATACATACAGTTGAAGTCAGAATTATTAGAACACCTGAAATATTAAGGCCCCTGTTTATTTTTTCCCCAGTTTCTGTTTAACAGAGGGAAGATTGTTTCAGCACATTTCTAAGCATAATAGTTTTAAAGGTTCAGGACACCCTGGATAACTTTTTTTTTAATATTAACAGATTTGTATGTGTTGAGCATCAGTTAAGACAATGTTAGCACCTGTCAGCTTTAATTGTGGTTTATATTTTAAATATTTTATAAACTTATATATAAATTGTGTGTTTATACAGACAGCTTGTTATAGCCTCCCCCCTAAAATATAACACTGTATATGGAAAGCATCATTAATGCACCGAGATATCGTATTGAACCGAATCGAAGGCATGATAATCATAACTGAACTGAACCGTGAGACCAGTATAGGTTCACACCTCTAATCAAAAGTGGCTGATCTGTTCGGTGAAATATTTAACCCTGTGTCACTGCATCCAAAACCACTAAACCGATACAAAGAAATCTCCACTGTGCTGAGCGAGATCTTCTTACTTAACAGCGCATCATCGATGACGTAACCCTGCTCAGGTGCGAATGCAACATAAGTGTGGGCTGTTGGGGGAGACAGGAGGGGGAACAAGCGTGCTTCGACCCGGTTCAGGGCAACAGTACATAGTGTGAGTACACCATAATAAAAGGACTAAGCAAAAAATCAAATGAATGAGAAAGTTGAGTTGATGAGCTGTTTGAACTGCGGAAATTATATAAAAAAGAACTTAGTTTGGGCCAGATGTTATCCGTAATGTCAATTCAGCTTGTTTTTTATTTATTTTAAAGTATACCGTGGCCTCGACATGCACTTAAACATGAAGCACAATATTGTAAACATGTTTAATGATGATTCAATGAGAGATAAGCTCTTCTCAAATCAAGTAGCAACTATCATATAAATGCACTTTCTGGTTGTTGACTTACCCTTGATTCAGTGGTGAATAATCCACCCACTTCATGGTGCCCTCAGTCTGTGTGTCAGACAAGCCAATCCATGAGTCATCCTTGACTACTGAAGATATGAACCTCTGTGTGTGAATAAACAGAAGGATAAGTGTGATTTCTCTCATTCAATAGTAAATAGTCAATAATCAAACTCACCTGCTTCTCTTCACTCTTAATAATGACCAGATCACCTCCATGATTCCTGCAGAACTGTCTGCTGTCAGACCAGCTCTTCTCCTCAGTGGACATTAACAAGAAAACTGAACAACACACACATTCATATCCTTTTCAAAACTGGACTGCAAATGATAAAGTAACTATTATATCAGATTAGCACTGACCATATTGAGAATAAGCCTTCTTCAGTTCATCACTCAGTGACGTGACTCTGTTCTCCAGCTCCAGTTTCTTCTGACTCAGAGAGTTAGAGTTGTTCTGTAACTGGCTCTTCTGAGCACTGAGATCATCGACACTGGTCTCCAGCTGCTGTTTCTTCAGACTCAGAGAGTTGTATTTGGTCTCCAGCTGGTGTTTCTCCAGACTCAGAGAGTTGTATTTGGTCTCCAGCTGGTGTTTCTCCAGACTCATAGAGTTGTATTTTTCTTCCAGCTGGTGTTTGTCAGTCTTCAGATCAGTGTTGTCGTGCTGTAAGCTGCTGATGGTGTGATTGAGCTCTTCAACTGTGTTCTTGTAAGTCTTTAACAGCTCTCTCTCTGCTGTGATGCTGATGTGCTGCAGTGTGATGAAGAGCAGCAGAAGAGCACAGATGAACCCCACAAACACCAACAACACCATCACACATCTGCATCTTCCTGAAAAACAAACACAGAAACACACAGATATCAGTGAAAAACTCTTAGAAACTCAGTTTCAGTCTTTTAATATTCTTTCTTAGATTCTGTAGCTAAAGTTTTTATATGCTAGCAAAGTTGCTATATGAAAATGCAAACAATAGCGTGAAGACAACGCAAATACAACACTAATAATACATTTAACATTAGTGTAGTTCTAAATTTCTCATTTCCTCATCCGAGACACCATTTCTGTTCACAGTTCATTTCTTCTTACCGTGTTCTCGATCTTTTTCTTCATCCTGGTTGTGATTGTGTGTTTGAGGTCCAGTCGAGTCCTGAAAATCTCCACACTGAATATTTTCATAAATGTCCTCTGAATCCATCATTTTCTAGTATGTCGTGCTCTTGGATGACAGATGCCGTCAATGTAGTTGTGGTTTTAAATGGCAGATGCTGTTCTTAAATACTGTTAACTCGAACAAGGAAGTTTAATTTCACACCCATCAACCAATAACATCGACAACACAAACAACTCTGCAGACTCATGTGAGGCTCATGTTTGTGTACTGTACAATCAACTTATTATCAGCTTCAAAAGCCAACAAGAAGAATCTTTGACACTTAAACAGGCCCTGTCACAAGTCCCTTATTGTTATTTGAAAACTACAGTAAAGTGTGCAGAAGCAGGCCTGGAAATAAACTCTGAGTTCCAGAGCTGAAAATGGCTGCTACTGCATGAATGAGGAAGTGACCATCGCGTGAAGTTTCTCATGGCCTTTTCATCGTGGTAAAACCACTTCTATTTAGTTTGAACTTTAACTACAGTTAAGATGAGATATCTGATCTAAAACATTGCTGCATCATGTATGTCTGAATAAACTGCATATTTTCCATGTTGATCATTCATTCATTTTATTTTTTGCATGGTCCCTTTATTAATCAGGGGTCACCACTGCGGAATAAACCGCCAACTTATCCAGCATATGTTTTACACAGCGGATGCATTTCATCTGCAACCCATCACTGGGAAACATCCATACACTCTCATTCACACACATACACTATGGACAATTTAGCTTACCCAATTCACCTGTACCATATGTATTTGGACTTGTGGGGGAAACTGGAGCACCCAGAGGAAAGCCACACCAACACGGTGAGAACATGTAAACTCCACACAGAAATGCCAACTGACTCAGCTGAGGTTCGAACCAGCGACCTTCTTGCTGTGAGGCGACAGCACTACCTACTGTGCCACTAGGTTGCCCATATTGATCATCATCAGAGAATTAAAGGCTGGAGGAGCTTGAACTCGAGCAGTTTTCATTTCCTGATGCCTCTGCTGGTGTGTACTTTTTCTCTACAGACATGCTGACTGCAAAAAAATGTTTTTTATAATGCTATTTCAACTCAAAATGTCCCCAAATGGCATGTAGAAACGAATGTTACTTGTTTTTAAAGCTTGTGTATTAATAAAAAAAATGTTTTGACAATAGTCAGGCCTTTCAAAAGAGTGTGTTTATATCAGCCTGATCTCACGAGAAAACGTAAGTATTTTACGTTTTGCCAGTTTAGTGGCTAATTCGTACGAATTCGTACGAGTTCAGTCGTACGAAATGGTACGATTTTAAAAAAGAGGCATGGCACCTGACCCCACCTCTAACCCCAACCGTCATTGGGGGATAAGCAAATCGTACTAAATTGTACAAATTAGATCGTACGAATTCATACGAATTAGCCACTAAATGAAAAAGTTACGAATTGCCGTGAGATTGTGTTGGTTTATATATACTGCAGTGAAACAGAAATGCGTGAATGAAATGTTATTCAAAAATACTTTAATTCACCAATTTATTAAAACAGAAAGCAGTTCAAATCAAAAGCAGTTTGACAGGATTTCAACATCAGTTATAAGGGTTGAATTACTACAATCTGAGACATGTGAGACTTCTGTAGTTTACTGACCTCAACACTTCAGACAGACAAGGCAAATAATATCAGATTTACATCCTATTAATGCAAATAAAAGCTTGACAAGGCTGGATGAAGCTTATTTCTCACAAATCCCTTTTCTTCTATCTGAGCATCGGAGGTCATTCCAGTTATTCGGGATGCCTTGTGAAATTCTCACTTCAACACAGTCCTCGTCCTGACTCCGGTAGTTATTCGGCTCACCTCTAGCCCAAAACCTAAATAAAATGTGACAAGTCATTAAAATTTAAGTCAAAATCAAAACTTTACTTAAAAAGCAATTCATAAGTCAACCGTACCCAGTTCCCCTTCGGGGGGAACTTCAGCACTATAAGTGGATTTGATTGTAAAATCCACGCATTGGGAGGTTCGGTTCAGAAGCTACTCGTCTGAAAGAGTATTGAACGGGCCAATTAAGAATGAATTGGCAGCGCAAGCCTGCGCAGGTGAGCGGCATAAGCAATCAACTGAGTATATAAGCTCACCTGGCGCAGCAGACGCTTTCCTTTTCGCTTCAGAGACTTTCTGATCGAGTCGATGAGGGTTCCTCCTGCTGTGACCAGCGATTCTGAGCGAACGAGAGCATTCTCCCGGTCCAGAGTGTGTACACGCAGTGGCAGACGGTCGAGCTGGGTTTCTCCCTTGCCTGGCGTTCTTTGGGTCCGGTCCTCCAGAGCGGTGCGTATAAAGTTGCAAACTTCACAGAAAGAGCAACACAGTCGTGCAGCACGTCCTTATCAGGACGGCGCTCCGACTGTGCGTTTCTGGATGCGGTGGTTTCCTGTCCTCGGATGATGGGCGCGGGCACTGTGTTACATGTCTGGGGGTCCAGCATGTTAATGCGCTGCTCGCGGGCAGTTCATGTCGTCATCGCGATGCCATGACTGTTGCGCAAGATCGCGGTTAGCCTTTGCAAAAAGGCGAACCACCCCAGTTGTCCCCTGCTCTGCAGCGGGCACTCGGGCAGATCTGAGGGTTTCAGCGAGAGATAATCCGTCGCCCACGGGCCCGCGGACCTCCCGCTCCTCTAAGCGCTCCATCCAAGCTTCGGGCGGAGGAAGCGATCCGTCTAACAGATGGTAGCCCTTACGCCCGATGACACCGGAGACCAGATGTCCACCGCGGCATCGGAGGGTGGGCTTTCATTGTCCGATGATGATCCAGACCCGCTCGCCCCCTTCGGGCTGGTGAGCGCTGTCACTACGGATCCTGAAACGGACATGTTAGCCGTGCTTTCCCGGGCTGCTTCGGCCGTGGGTTGGAGATGGTTTATCCCCCAGCTCCGCGGCCGGACCGACTAGAGGGGCGTTCCCTTCTTCCCGGAGGTGCACAGTAGGCTCACGCGGTCTTGTAAAGCACTTTTTTCTGCTCGTGCTGCGTGTTCCTCCACCCTAACCACTCTTGACGGTGAAACAGCCAGGGGGTATGTGGCGATTCCTCAGGTTGAGTGCGCGATGGCGGTAAATCCGTGCGGCGCCTCTTCTTGGCGGGGTCCGCCTCGTCTCCCATCCAAAGCCTGTAAGTTATCTACCTCCCTCGGAGCTAGAGCTTACATAGCTGCGGGCCAGGCTGCTTCCGCCTTGCATGCGATAGCCACCTACCAGCGCTACCAAGCGCAGGCGCTGGCCGAGCTGCACGAGGGTGGGTCCAACCCAGGCTTACGAGCTTCGCACCGCCGCCGACTTAGCTCTTCGGACTACTGAGTCCGCTGCGTGTGCGTTGGGGAGGACGATGTCCACATTAGTGGTCCAGGAGCGCCACCCCTGGCTGATATGCGCAAAGTCGACAAAGTCCGCTTTCTTGACTTCCCCATATCCCCAGCCAGGTTCGGCGACACTGTCTGTGAATTCACCCAGGAATTCAAGGCGGTGAGAGAGCAGTTGGTGGGTGATGTCTTATCGGCGGTCCGTAGCCCGCTCCGCCCGCCGTGCCATTCATACCTGCTCCTCGCCGAAGGCGCCCGCCTACGAGAGCTGCTCCGCCCCCGCACACGCCTAAGGCGAAGCGAGCGCGTCGGGCACCTCGGAAGCAGGCAGCCCCCCTGCCCAGAACGCCGCTAAGTCCGGCAACGGACCGCGAAGAGCCCCTGGGACAGGCCATCTGGAGAAGAGGGAACTTGCTCTTTCCCCGCTGGAGGGCGGGGCCCCATTTCCAACGGCACTTTTTACTGCCATGAAAACATTATGAAAGGGCACTTTTCACTTCCCCAGATGTGACAGCCCGAAATCTGCCAGTCTGGGACGCTATGCTTTCTAGCTTGCAGATTCGGTGCGTTTCGCCAGTGGCTCACGAGCGCTGGGAGGACGGTCTCCTTTCTCCCACCCCTCGAGCCTCCCCTCCGGAGCTCGGGTTTGGAGTGAGAGCAAATATCTCACCTCCAGCTTTTCCGTGGGACCCGCGAGCTTCCCGGATCAGCACACCCACTCCGCGCTGCCCCACTGCTGGTACGTCAGCGATTGTAGCGATGAGTCCATTAGCGAGAGCTCTGCCTGCCTGGTTAGCGCGGGCCAGCTCTTCGCGGTGGCTCATACGCACAATCAGACTCGGCTATGCGATTCAGTTCGCGAAACGGCCCCCCAAGTCACGGGTGTGTATTCACCAGGGTCAGCCCCCTGTCCGCCCCTGTCTTGTGAGAGGAGATTGCTGTCCTCCTGGCGAAGGATGCAATCGAGCCGCTCCCTCCAGCCGAGATGGAGAGCGGGTTTTACAGCCCACGCTTCATCGTGCCCAAAAAGAGCGGTGGGTCACGGCCAATCCTAGATCTGCGCGTTTTGAACCGCTGCCTGCACAAGCTGCCGTTCAGAATGCTCACGCAGAAGCGCATCCTCCGGTGCGTTCGTCCTCTGGGTTGGTCTGCAGCATTAGACCTGATGGACGCGTATTTCCATGTCTCCACTCTTCCTCGCCACCGACAGTTTCTGCGGTTTGCGTTTGAAGGTCGAGCTTGGCAATACAAAGCCCTCCCCTTCGGGCTCTCTCTGTCTCCGCGGGTCCTCACCAAGCCCGCGGAGGGTGCCTCAGCGCCCCTTCGGCTCGCGGGCATCTGCATACTCAATTTCTTTACGACTGGCTGAATTGCCCTCTCTTTTGATTATGCACAGAGTTGATTATGCACAGAGACAAAGTGCTCTGGCACTTCCACCTGTGGGGGTTTCAGGTCAACCGAGAAAAGAGTAAACTCGCCCCCGTGCAGAGGATCTCTTCTCTCGGGCTGGAGCTGGACTCGGTCACCATGGCAGCGCGCCTCTCCGGAGAGCGCGCTCAGCTGATGCTGTACTGTCTGAGAGAGCTCGACAGTAAAATAGTGGTCCCACTGAAACAATTTCAGAGGCTCCTGGGGCATATGGCATCCGCAGCCGCTTCATGCCGCTCGGATTATTCTATATGAGACCACTTCAGCACTGGCTTCACGATC